GAAAAGGAACAGAGGACTGATGAGGTCACCGCTCCCTCACATTCATTAACCCTGAATATCCCTCAGCACTCATCAGCTGATTGGAGGGTGCTGATGAAGAGACGCTGGAGTACCAAACATGTTTTTAAATCTCCTTTTCTGCTCAACACAAACATCCTCTCACAATCACTGCTAACAAACCTGCTGCTGACCTGTTCGGCATCAGTCTCCATCAATAACCATTAAATAAACAACAACAAGACAAAATAACTTCTAGTTATTTGTTGTAAGGTCCAAACAGCTACTAACACTGCATCTTCCTCCAGCTGTGCATTTCGCCCTTAGTGTAAACGCTCCGTTCTTCGAGAAGAAATGAGCTCAGCCCTCCTCTTCCTGTGTGTCAGCACACACAAACGATTAAATCCTTTTGCTCCACAATCGCACACAAACACTTCATAGAGAACTACTAAACACCAGATCTCTAACATCCAGGGACATCCACACAAATCAGCGATTAGAAACGTTGCATTGACGCTCTGCCTGCAGCAGGGGGCGCTGCTCTTTCAGTGACCGTTTCATCAAAGTGCGTCGGTGCCCTCCGAGCAGTCGGGGCAGCAGAGAGACGATGTGGGATGAAACTGGGGTACAGTTCAATCATTCATTGCCATCACCCTCCTCTCCGTCTACATTCATTTTGAAAAACTAGATTTTTTATCAATATCTTTGCTTGTTTTTTTTAAAATAATAAAGCTCCCATAATGATTAACGTGAATATAAGCCAGGACAAGCAGGTGATCAAAAGCTATACATGGTTACATGTGGATACGTTTCTAGACTATTGCACTATTGCTGAAATGTACCACCTTCAAATCCACTAACATTCAGGACGATTAGTGCAACGGCTCTAAAAGTCCTTTTGTCTTACAATTCTGGATTTCCCATGATTATGGGCAATGAGCAAGCACTACAACCAAGACACTCAAAAGAAAAGTATGCGAACACAAGAGTCCTCATGGCACTTACTGCTGTGCAACCAGAGTCACTCTAGAAACATCATTTACAGCATGTACAGTAAGAATAACTAGACTTACTAGAGTCATCTCTATAAAAGAAAACTGCTCTAAAAACATCTGTCATGTAACACCAGAAAGATGCGTCATTAAATAAGTAAACAGGACTTGACAAGCAGTTAAGACTTCAAATAAGAACCGTACAGTCATGGGAAAAGGTACAGCAGTTGCATAACCATTAACAGGAAGGTGCATAAATGACTTCTGAGAGGTCAGTTGGAAAGGAAAAAGATTACAGACACGCCTCTCACGACGATTTTAAAAAGTATCATTCAAAAAGTCTCGATTATTGCCAGATACTGCAGTAGAAACTGCCCTCCCTCTGAGGTCTGAGTGTCACTGGATACTGGTGGCAGTTACTGGGCAGATTTATTTATTTATATATATATATATATATATATATATTTATCTTTTTTGCAAAGATATTGTGACTGCTGGCAGAAACACAACAGGAATTTAAAAATAACAATTACTTTAATCAAAACAACAACCTTCTAATCACCTCTAAAACCGAGGAAAAATATTTTTGTACTATCAGTAACTTGACATGAGTAACAGTCACTTAAATGGAAAAGGTGGATGTTCCAGTTTGGAACAAAAACTCTAACACTGCCCAGAGTCGATGGCTTTAACCCTGCAGCTGAGGGACAAGGTGCAGCTGGTGGAGCACCTGGCAGGAAGTTGTAACAGCAGGACGCACGAGCACAGCTGGCAGAGTTGGGCTCAGCTCACTTAAATAGGCCAGTGGATTAAATTCCTCTCGATAAAGAAAAATCGCCCAAATTTTTAACAATACCCCTGAGAATGGATGATTGGGGGTGGTGCTCTTTTAAGTCAGCTGAGCCCAACTCCGACACTTTGTTTCCTAGGCGTCGTTGGCTCAACGCGCTGACGGCAGTGGCTGGTTATTCAGATTCATCCAGCTGCAAGCTAATAAACTCCTGCATGCACTTCCTGTACTGCATCTCGGTGGGGCTGTTGGAGTTATATTGACCTGACTGGCTGTAGGGCCCCTCCGCCTCCCGCATCTCCTCGTTCATCTTGGCGAGTCGCAACCTGGGGAGCGAATAAAGAAACAGGAAATTAAAGGTAACATCTCAATCCACTCTGTAATCTAAGATTAGTACCACGACACTCACAGCGTGACAATGTCTGCGTTGGCCGCCTCCACCGCTATGGACAGGGGTGTTTTCTCCTCAATGTCTGTAGCGTTTTGATTCGCTCCTCGTTTCAAGAATAAACACACTTGCCTGCAAAGGAAATGCAAGTTGTTTTTTTGAGTGTAAAACATAATCCACGTTGCATTTGTAGTAATAAAGGTGGAGAAGTGGAAACAAACCCCGTGTGTCCCAGCATGGTGGCATGATGGAGGGGTCCTCGGCCCTGAGCGTCCTGTTGGTTCACATTCGCTGCATTTTGGAGCAGAAACTCACAGGTGACCAGAGACCCCTGAAATTTACAGGTG